TTCCTAATGTTCACTACATACAGTTGATGAAAAGAGAGCCACATACACAGACTTAAGGAAAAATTAAGTTGAAATGCCAATCATAGCTTGCTGTCACATACAATGATGAAATAAAAATGACCTCTATGTGGTCACACTGTTTCAAGAACAGTGAGCTTGAGATCACTGTCAGCTTCGCTTGTCAAAAATAAGGTAGCAGAGACAGAGACATTAATATGAATATCAGACAACAGTTCTGTTATAAATACAAGATGAAAATAAGTCAACACACATGAAAAAATGGTTTCCTTATGCTTAATTGGGACAGAATGACATTACTACATAAGGGTTTTATTTAACAGAAGTCTTTAAAATGCTTCAGACTACATGTGACATGAAAATTATTCTGCTGTGTACAGATTTACTGAACAAACAGCTATAATAATTACAACCATCTCTTACCATGGAAGTTTGATGTCAATATAGAAAAAAGACCTTTTTGTCATCTTTAGAAATGTAGTCCACAATGCAATTACAGATTGTGACAGAAAGATTTCTTCCAACCACTGCAGTCTCAAAAAGCAACCTGGGTTTTTTTTGCTTGCATTTTATTATAGCTTTTCTTTACTCACAGCATTTTTAATATGATCTGCTTATAAAGATAAACCCTTTCCGCTGCATTTGAGGTATGTGTTTATATGCAATCAAAGCTGCATCTCATATTTGTATTCATGCAATTCAGGTAGCATTAGCTTGGCTAATGCTTCAGCAAATAAATGGGTAGCCATAGCAGCAGAGAACTTGATGCAGGCTGCAAAACCTGACCAAAAACTTAGTGAATAATGCAGTTTCCTGTGCTGCAGTGAGCTCTGCCCTGCCTTGGATATGCTGTTCTATGTATCTGGACTTCAGTAGCTTGAAGTAAATATACAAGCTGGAAATGACTTCTTGTGGTAAATAACTGAAAATGACTCCTGTGGTAAATAACTGAAAAACTCAGATCAGCCATAGCTATTAGCTGCTTGAAATGATCTTCTAATGTGCAAAATCCTGATCACTGAAAATTAAGTACTTCCTTCTGCTTCCCAAATAAAATAAAAGAGCTCCTCTGTTAGTTGCTATTGAATCCTAAGCACGCCACTAAAACTATACCAGCATTTGGCCTGTGTCAAACAGTGCTCTGAATTGGAATTGCAGCAAAAGTATGTACCACAATATTTACTGCAGTCCATGGTCCTTTGCAGTTAAAGCAAACTGTAGCATTAATACATAGTTTTGCACATAGATGTAATTCAGTAGGTAATTTAAAAATTAAAACCACTATGAATGGGAATGAAAAATACCAATCATATCTATATCCACTAAAATCTAGTGTATATTACTTGCATTCTTAAGGCATTAAAATACTTCCAAGATTTAGCAGTTACAAATGTGTATTACTTCTGTTAGTTATACAGCAGGAATTTTTCTCCACAAGAAATATTCTGACTTGATGGGCCTTGTCACAAGCATTAAAAATACAAGTGGTAATTCTGGTCACAAAAACAGAGCAGATTTAAACTTGACAAAACCTGCATATCACAGAATCACAAGGTTAGAAGAGACTTTGAAGATCATCAAGTCCAACCCATGCCCTAACACCTCAACTAAACCATAGCACCAAGCACAACATCCAATTTTTTTTTTAAACACGAATCATGTTAGAAACATGTTCAATAAGAGAAGAATCCAGTCAGATTGAAAATAAAATAACACACATTCAGCTACCATGGAATGTGGCATGAGAATGAGTACTTTTTTAACTAGAAGTACCATCTGAACACTACTAGAGCTTTCAGGGAAACTCAAAAGATCATGAAGAGAAAAATGGCCCATGCATTAGCTAGCATTACATTAAATTTTTTATTGCTCTTTTTTTACCCTTAAGCAGTCTATTTAGTTTAAAGAAACAATTTCAGTTCTCAGATCTAGACCTGAGCAGCATTGGCTTGCTTCTCTGTATTACTTTGTTTTATAGGGTTTGGCTAAGCTTGAAAAGCAAATGCTAGTTTGATACCTTCTGTAGCAATGAAGGTGACCTTGGCAATGGCTAGAAAAATTTCCTTCCTGCTTCCATTTATATGACAGCTATGGAGAAGGTGTGCATTCAGGCTCTATTTGTCTCCCTTTTCATGCCCTGTGAGACATGGAACCAGTTTCCTGTCCTGTGTTTTTATGGGATAGAGTTAATTTCCTTCCTAGTAGCTGGTACAGTGCTCTGTTTCAAATTGAATCTATGAAGGATGTTGATAACACACCTATGTTTTAGCTGTTGTTCAGCAGCGCCTACCCTGAGTCAAGGAATTTTTAGGTTCCTATGCTCTGGGATGCTCACATGACCTGCATATGCCCTGCTCAGTGGGCAGGGGCACAATAAACTGGGGGGGAGCATAGCTGGGACAGCTGGCCTGAACTGGCCAAAGAGATTCTCCATACCATATGGCATCAGGCTCAGCATGCAAACTGAGGAAGTTGGTCAGGAGATGTTGATTGCTACGAAGAGACTGGGTCGGCATTGGTCCGCAGTGGTGAGCAATTGTATTGCATATCACTTGTTTCTCTTGGGTTTCATTCCTCTCCCTCCCTCTACTTTTTATTCCAGTCTCCTTCTCCTCCTCTGTATTATTATTATTATTAACCTATTTCAATTATTACACTGTTCTTTTCTCAACACATGAGCTTTACCTTTTTCCATCCCACCAGGGAAGACAGAGAGTGTGGCTGCAAGGCACTTAATTGACAGTTTGGGGTTTTAACACTATTTATGCTTGGATCTGATTTGGTTTCCACTTTTGTAAGAGAAATATCTTTACATTAAGACAGTGGTTTTTTTCCCATGATATAAAATTTGGCATCCATTTGGAGTTTTAGGCTGGGGAAAAAAACAGCAAATTAGGAACAACCAAGCCAATTCTTCTGTCTAACGACATATCCCAGTTTCTGGGGATATGAGAAGTGAAGCTGAAGTGAGTTGAAGTCACAGATTTCTTGCTTGTATGGTGTCTAACTAATAGACCATTATATAGAGCATTCATCACTTGATATACACATACAGATAGAACTAACAGGCTATTGAGCATGTATCTATATATCAGATATAAAGTGCAAGAAAAAATGATACAGAGTACAATACTGACATTATACATTGTTGAACCCAGAAACAGAAAATTAAAGAAACTTTATCATTCCTATATTGACTGACCACATTAACTTTATTATCCAAAATTGACTTTGACACTCCAAGACTAGCATGCAGTCTAGACAGTAAGCAATCTAAATGACCAAATACTTCTATTAAAAAGAAAAACAATGCTTTGAACTCAACATAATCTACACCAGGTTTGGTGCTCTATTTGGCTCAAGATAGTAAGATGTAACACACAGACATTGTGACAAGTGTAAACAAATCAAGAACATGCTAATGAATTCCTTAAAATCAAGCTCAGATCTGTACTAGCCTGTTTCTGAGCCAACAAGACAAGTGAAAGAAATGTTGAATTCATTTTAAAATGTCTTAGAATGAGACTGTCTCAAAATGCTCTATGGAAAAACCGATTTTGGTAAAAATGACAAAAAATCCAAGAGCTTACTCTCACTCTTCTCTCCAAATTAGATATTTGAACTTCAAACTTTAGCACCAAATTATATCCATCTGATTTACCAATTCGTCCATGGTTTAGACCAAGATTTTTCAGCATTAAAATTTTGGTGAATGTGACTATTTGTTTTTGTTGTTTTGTTTTTTAATCTGAAACATGGCCATAATGTTTGACTAAAAGCAGTTAAGTTTGAAAACTGGAATCTACAGTCTGTCCACAGACAGATACCTAGATGGAATGTGCTGATAAGAAGCAGTGTTCAATATGACTGCTCTTACAAACAGAAATACTTAGCGTATAAATTCAGATGTGCTCTATAGTCATTTCTTAAATATCAATATGTTATGTGCTAGGCAAGTACCTGTCAAATATACTTGATTTCTCTTTGATCCAATTTCTGTAATTATTGACAAATTATTTCAGCTCTATTTTCTTCAACTTTGTTTTTATATGCCAAATTCAACAGGTTTGGGTTTGGTTTTTTTTTTTTATTTCACTCACTTAGAGAAATAAACACTCAAACATGAGGTATAATTAATAGAATCAATTTTATGACATCTGTTCTATAAAACCTATAGTGCATTTAAATATCAAGAAATAGTGCAATCTGCTATAAAAATTAAGAAATAAGATTTCCCCCCCCCCCCTCCCAATTATTAAACCTTCTCTTTAACAGGACTACAGATAGAAACTTTTTCCTGAAACCACTAGTCATGAGCAACTGAGTCACTCTGGACTCCTCAAACATAATTAAAACACAGTCAATATAATAATAGTGTGGTAGACTGACTATCTAACAAAGCTAACAGGCACCCACACCTGCACTGTAACTTGTGAGAACAAGTTGTACTGATTATAGTGAGATAGTTCAGGAGTTTACGAATAAACATTTACAATAAGCTTGTTAAGTCAACACTCTTTTTGAATTAATGCTGATAAACAATACCTTAAACCAGCTATAGCACCAAGAAAACCAAGACAAAGAAACACAGAATGAATGCCAAAAGTTCTCAGATTCAGCATAAGAGGCACTTAGTAACACTTAAAACTTTACACAATCTCTGCTTTCTATTACAATTCCCTAAACCCCAAAAAACTTGCATAATAATTCTTAAGGACTATAAAAGTACTACCATTTAACAACATAATTAAATTTTAAATAAATAAAAATCCCACAAAAGACAGAAGAGCTTTGCAGAGGAATCAGTAAGTATAGTTTCAGGATGTAATATTCAGATGATTCTTAAAAAACAAGTTCTGATATGGTTTAGTACTCCACTAATGTACAAAACTGAAAAAATAATCACAGCAGTCTTGAAAGCACAGATCAACTACATAAGCTAAGCTAAGAAGTGCATACAATTCATGAATATGGTTCATTACCATGGTTACAAGCTTTCAGCACAGGCCGCTGTGTGGTTGGACTGAGATTTTGTGATGTGTCTGCAAAAGCAAAGAAACAATGGAAATAAAACACCGGTTTGAAAGCTACCAGACTATTACAACATTACAAAGCAGAAGTTTAGGAATTTAAGAATTACAAGTTACATATTTCTTAGAATAAATGACAGTTATATACCAGAGAAATAATTTGACTCAGACTCACTTATGGAGCAAGATAACTGTCACTTCCCCCATATAATTATAAACCCTGAAAAGTTAAAGTACATTTGACTGTATTGAAAAGCTTTGCCATAATTATCTGGCTATAATAAGTTTAGTACATTAATTTCCAGTCTTACTGACATGGCAACAATCTAAACATCCCAGAAAACTCGCTGCACAAATGAATTAAATCTGACAGTATCTAAATTCTAGAGCACTGGACCCATAATACTTTTAACTTTCTCTGGAAAATAAAATCTAAAATAGATTATTCACCTTTGGACCTTGGTATCCTTTTCCTTCGGTCTCGAAAAGCCGCACCTGACTGCAAGGCCTCCAACAGGCTATCCATCACTCCAGTCTCCTCACCTTCTGTAAAGGAAAAACAAGAAACCTTCTTGGTTACCACAGCAATATCAAAGCATAAAGAATAACACCAACAAAAAACAATAATAAGGGATTATAATACTAGTATACATATCAATACCAATACCAATAGTATTATTAAAACAATTAATTTCAAACTTTGACTGCTGCTTTAATATTTACAAATTGCTCTCTTGCAATTAACTACAACAGACTTGGTCTTCTAGAGATTGAACTAGACCAAATTCTATTCCACCAATTTCACATTCCTCTTTCTCTATATGGAGAGTCAAGCATAGTTTTAAGCGAAATGTCATTTAACTCATATTTTCATTTTAGTACCCTTCTACAACTGCAAATAATCAGTCTCATGTCAGCTTTCGAGAGCTGTCCTTTATACGATTGGTACATTTGACAAAAGACTGTTCAGTTATTGTGATGAAAAGTTAAAATTGTTTCTCAGCAGGGAGTTGACTGAACAGTATTGGACTGGATAGGATATAGTGCTATCCATAAGTTGCTTAAATCTAAAGCCATTTTCAATTCACATTTAATAACCTCTGGCCAATATTAAATAATTGATGTAGTTCAGGAAACTTCTACTCATCGAGTTATATGCTTATAATACCTAGTAATATACACAGGTGCCTAACAACCCCCAAAAGAATTATGAATGTTACTCTGAGATGGTAACCAAACACAAGTATTAAACACACTCCTTCTATTTCCTTTAATAAACACATCAGAAAGTGCTATATTTTTAACCTTGCTGCCCCATTGTATGTATGCATGGGAGGACAAAGAACAGAACCCAGGGATTAACTATACAACAAAAAAATCTACATGGAGGAATAAAGAATTCCATTATAGAAATCTCATTATACCCCACAGGGCAAAACTCCCTAGGTCAATACTGTTGACCTATATATCTTGGATAGGGTCAGCAGATATTGCTAACAGTGAATATGCAAATCAGGATCTAAAGTACCTGGTGCATATAACAAGATGCCGAGTACAGGGGAGCAATCACTGCCGTGGTCCTGGTGGCCACACTATTGCTGACACAAACCAGGGTGCCAGTGGCCTTTTTGGCCACCTGAGCACACACTAGGCTCACTTTCAGCTGCTGTCAACCAACACCCTCAGAGCCTTTTCCACTGGGCAGCTTTCCAGCCACTCTGCCCCCAGCCTGCAGTGCTGCAGGGGATTACTGTGACCCACATCCAGGACCTACCAGTTGGCCTTGTTGAACCTCAGACAACTGGCCTCAGCCCACAGATCCAGCTTGTTCAGATCCCTCTGCAGAACCTTTCTGTCCTCCAGCAATTCAACACTTGTCACCCAGTTTGGTATCATCTGCAAACTGAGTGAGGGGGCATTCAATTCCCTATCCAGATTACTGACAAAGATTCTAAACAGGACAGGGCCCAACACTGAGCCCTGTGGAGGGCTACTTATGGCCAGCGATCAGCTGGATGTAACTCTACTCACCACCACTCTTTGGGCTCAGCCAGCCCGCCAGCTTTTTATACAAGAAACAGTAACCCTTAGTTCTTCTCTTTTCTCTATACTCTGTACTACCAGACTAGTTTTCAACCTTAGACAAAAGTGCTACACACACAACCAAAGGAGTGAAAATTAGTAAATAAATCATAATTTTGCCTAGCATTTATATTATAGTAGGTGTAGAATAAACATGAAGACTGAAATACTGAATGTTTTTTTCATTTTTTTTGTGTTTGCTACAACATGCTTTATTACACTGAAGTTTGCTGTCTTACGATTAATGGACTATCACACCTATTAGTATGGCTTGGAATACACCTTATAAAAAATCACTCAGATTATGTTTTTGGCTTCCTATTTGCTTCTTCAAGTTTGGATTTTGTTTTACCTTTTTTTTTTTTTGTTTTGGTTTGGGGTTGGTTTCTTTGTGGTGTTATTTTTTCTTGTTGGTTTGGTAGGAGGTTTTTTGTTACTTAACTTTCTGTATCTGATGTCATGCAATTCTCTAAAATACTAATGTCTAGAATGAATATAATCAGTGAATAGTTTCAAACCAACATGATGCCTGAAGAAATTTTGAGCCAAGCCATTGGTTACATTAACAGACATGAATGCTAGAGGAAAGCTTATAAGCATTTTGGATAATGGCAATTCAAACAACACTGAATAGTATCATAATCACCAAAATTATGCCATTAATGTCTAGAAAAAGAATTAATAAGTGTTATTTTAGAAAGTAGGAATAACAGAAGAAAAATTTCAATGCTATTTCAGCATGTCATCTGTTTCCTCTTAAGCCTGTCCAAGACTACTACAGAATTTTCAGTATAAAAAAATCCCTGATTACTATAAAAAGGCTAATCAAATAAATTTTAAAAATATTTAAAATAATGAAACAGAAATATTGCAAACCCACAACTTCTTGTGGTAAAGTTGTAACATTTACATGCACTATCTGTTTTTCACACTTATCTGAAATATTCTGGTAATCACAAAATTGATTAGAGATTAGTGCTTCTGTTGACATACAAAAAAGTATTAGAAGAATAAATTGTAGTAGATTGAAACCTGAATGAAAACCTCCTCTTAATATATAAACTCTTCTGTATACATAGATGTATTGAAACAAGCTAACCACTGCAAATAAAAGCACGTATTTAACAATCTTTGTACCCAAAACACATAGAAAGCCTGGTTTTCAAACTCATACAGTTTCAGTAAGCTCCAAATTCTGGTTGCCTTTCTGGTATCCTTCTGATACCTACATCAGCAGCTGACTGTGACAACTTCTGTCTAGTTATGCAGGCAACTATCAGTACCCTCACTATTACTAATGTAGTCCAAGTGTCTATGATGGGAAGATTAAGAAATGAGAGTCTACCATGCAGTATGTGAGAAATCTTTTAAATTACTTTGGGACAGCTGTATACAACATTGCTACCATGCCAGTACAAGAGTCACAAATACTGTTCGATATTGACACTTCCTAAGGGACCTTAAATCGGCTTTCACAAGCTGCTGCAGATGACTGGCACCAGTCCCAACCGTCTTCCTAATTAGTCAAGTGTATCAATCTTTTGACATCATAGAACAAGGAATTCTGGTTGGCTTGCAGATAGCTACATAGTCCACAGCAATTCCTTTGAGAAAGATACCCTTTTATGATTTAAATGATCTCTTTTCCCTCAACTGCAGAATAGAAGATTTAAACACTTTTTAATATCATACCTAATTAAGACTCATACAACTGTCTTTTAAATACCATCTAAAGGAGAAGTAAACTTCCCAAAGTAGCCAGTGAGTCTTGCCCTTGACATTTCAGTGCCAAGTCAGATATAAACTACCTAATTTCATAATTACATCTTTAAAAATGTTAAGAATATTAAAGACCCTTCTCTTCTAGTGCAGTGAGTATCATTAGCTTTACATGTGCACCTATAATATCTTATAATGATAGCAACAGATACTGCAGTTAGTAGTGACACCTGCATTTCATGTACTTATAAAGAACAAATTATACATACCATAATTCCAGGACAGTAGTCCACTGACATGATAGAATCACAAATATCATTAGCAATGTGATTTTATAAAAAGTGTGTTGTAACAAGATTATTTTGGATGAAAAATGTTTCATTTTTACAGTTCCCCTGAACCTGTCCAATCTAAAATGAACCACAGAACACTAAGATTCCAAAAGGTCACTTTACCAGGGGAAAACATATTTTCTTTTTCACAGAATCAAAGTTTTATTCAGCTAGTCTTCTCACAAAAGAAAATACCAAGAAGTTTCAGAAAAGCAAACAAGGGATTCTTTAGCATGTTTACTGTTGATGTTGTTTACTCAATCTGTGCACTTACAAGATTTAGCTACAGGAATTTTGACTATCATCTTCCACTTGCCTTTATTTATGGCATTGCAACAACATGCAGCTTTTTGTTATACTGTAGGTAATGAAAAAGACCAGCTCCTAAAGCTAAACACTAAGTTTCATGTCAGACTAAAACCACACAACTTGGACACGTACATACATTAAAAAGAGACCTTACAGATTCCATACCTGTTACAGAAGGAAAAGGATGCAAAACCTCTACTACTTCTGAAGTTAGCTGGATAGCTGAGTTTAAATATCTGTGTTTCATCTTTGATATAACTCCATGGCAGCACTCAAGCCTTTATAAACATTAACAACAAACCTGGAGTGCTGAAGCTATTGGATTTGTTTTTCTCATCTTAAAAATTAAATCCTCTCAATTCAGTAACTACCAGAATTGATACTTTTTTGCTCTTGTTTGCTAGAATACAGACTGCTTTTTTCCTTCCTCTTCAGCTCAGGACATAATTCAAGTTAGCCATATTGCACTGAGTTTTTGACTGACTAAAATGTAAGCCCTTCACAGCCTACTTCCAGGTTTAGCTCCCTCCTGTCTTGTGCATTTACTTACAAAAATTTCAGAGGCAAATGATTACCAGGCTTGGGACAGTGACAGCTGAGATGTTTCCAGACTATTTGCACAAGGAAGGAAAAAAGAAAGTTACATCTTTTAACTTTACTAATATTGTACCTTTACTTTAAAGATGTAGTGAAAATTCCTTTTTATTTGTTTTTATAAGGACTGATTTTGATTAGTGCAGGCTACAAAGCACTGCTCAGCTGACTAAAGGCCTCCATCTGAACAAAATTTGAGGTAACATTCTCTGAACAAAATCACAAGAGGAAAGCTTTAGGCATGTGTAGTTTTGAATGACTTGGGCTCCAGGAAGCAGAACAGCAGATCACATAGAGGAAGATAATTGAAGCCATCAGTGCAGCAGTGGGCTCCAACGTCTTGGATGTGGGTTCCATCTTTTCAGTCTCAGACTGTAAGGCAGCCAGATTCTGTGCAGTATTCATAGTGCTGATCTGAACAATTTCTAGATCTTTCAGCCATGTACAAGATGAGGGCAGAAGAATTTCTGAAGGCTTTTACATTGTAAACATAAAAATATAAAGCAACCT